AAATAGCTTGGGGAAACTTCGCTGGGAGGGAGCGAGACCGGATGCTCGACGGGATGAAGCCGTGGGAATAGCTTGGGGAAACTTCGCTGGGAGGGAGCGAGACCGGATGCTGGACGGGATGAAGCCGTGGAAATAGCTTGGGGAAACTTCGCTGGGAGGGAGCGAGACCGGATGCTCGACGGGATGAAGCCGTGGAAATAGCTTGGGAAAACTGCGCTGGGAGGGAGCGAGACCGGATGCTGGACGGGATGAAGCCGTGGAAATAGCTTGGGGAAATTTCGCTGGGAGGGAGCGAGACCGGGTGCTGGACGGGATGAAGCCGTGGAAATAGCTTGGGGAAACTTCGCTGGGAGGGAGCGAGACCGGATGCTGGACGGGATGAAGCCGTGGAAAATAGCTTGGAGAAACTTCGCTGGGAGGGAGCGAGACCGGATGCTGGACGGGATGAAGCCGTGGAAATAGCTTGGGGAAATTGCGCTGGGAGGGAGCGAGACCGGATGCTCGACGGGATGAAGCCGTGGAAATAGCTTGGGAAAACTGCGCTGGGAGGGAGCGAGACCGGATGCTCGACGGGATGAAGCCGTGGAAATAGCTTGGGGAAACTTCTCTGGGAGGGAGCGAGACCGGATGCTGGACGGGATGAAGCCGTGGAACTAGCTTGAGGAAACTGCGCTGGGAAGGAGCGAGACCGGATGCTGGACGGGATGAAGCCGTGGAAATAGCTTGGGGAAACTTCGCTGGGAGGGAGCGAGACCGGATGCTGGACGGGATGAAGTCGTGGAAATAGCTTGGGGAAACTTCGCTGGGAGGGAGCGAGACAGTATGCTGGACGGGACAAAACCGTGGAAAATAGCTTGGGGAAACTTCGCTGGGAGGGAGCGAGACCGGATGCTGGACGGGATGAAGCCGTGGAAATAGCTTGGGGAAACTGCGCTGGGAAGGAGCGAGACCGGATGCTGGACGGGATGAAGCCGTGGAAATAGCTTGGGGAAACTTCGCTGTGGGAGGGAGCGAGACCGGATGCTGGACGGGATGAAGCCGGGGAAATAGCTTGGGGAAACTTCGCTGGGAGGGAGCGAGACAGCACGCTGGACGGAGAGGAAACCGTGCAAATATAGCTTGCGGAGAGCTTCGCTGGGAGGGAGTGAGACAGCATGCTGGACGGGACACAAAACAGTGGCAATAGCTTGCATTGAGCTTCGCTGGGAAGGAGCGCGACAGCATGCTGGACGGAGAGGAAATAACGTGCAAATAGCGTGTGGAGAGCTTCGCTGGCAGGGAGCGAGACATGCTGGACGGACAGGAAACGTTGGAAATAGCTTGCGGAGAGCTTTGCTGGGAGGAAGCGAGCCAGCATGCGGGACGGAGAGGGAACAGTGCAAAGCTTGCGGAAAGCTTCGCCGGGAGGGAGCGAGACAGCATGCTGGACGGAGGGGAAACCGTGGAAATAGTTTGGGGAGAGCTTTGCTGGGAAGAAAGCGTGGAAATAGCTTGGGGAGATCTTCGGTGGGAGGGACCGAGACAGCACGGCTTTTGCACACAGAATCTTGTACACACAGACGCGTTCACACACAGGAGGTTTTATACAAACAGAAGACTTTACGGCGCACAGAACTTTTATATACATAGAGCAGCTTTTACGCAGCGAAGCTTGTACACACAGGACAAAGGGGAGCTTTTTTACACAGAAGCTTTTACATAGGGTTTTTTTAATACACAGAAGCTTTTACACACAGAAACCTTTACACACAGAAGCTTTACACACAGAAACTTTTACACACAGAAACTTGTACACACAGAAGCTTTTACACAAGCCTTTACACAATGGAGCTTTTACACACAGACAGGTTTACACAGAGGAGTCTTTACGCACGGAGGCGTTTACACAGGAAAGCTTTTTCACACAGAAGCGTTTACACAGAGTAGTTTTTACGCAGAGAAATCTTTACACAAAGAAATCTTGACACAGAGAAGCTTGCACACACACACACAGAGGCTTTTACACAGAGAAGCCTTTTACACAGAGCAGCTTTTTCACCGAGGAGCTTTTACCCAGAGGAACTTTTACACAGAGAAGCTTGTACACTCAGAGGCTTTGACACAGAGAAGTCTTTTACACAGAGAAGCTTTTGCACACAGAAGTTTTACACAAACAAAATCTTAACACAGAGGAGCTTTTACATACAGAAGCATTTATGCAAAGAATCTTTTGTACAGAGAAGTCTTTACCCATTTTTCATCATGTCTCATTTTTCACTATCATTCACCACCTATCACCTTCATATCTTCGTTTTCATGCTCTTTTGGTCAGCTCCCTCCGTCGTTTAGTTTTCATTTTGCACGGTGTTCTGTCCGTCGACGCTTCGTCCTCGCTCCCTCTGCGGCGAAGCAAACTAAACGAGAACGCAGGAATTATAGCGGCTAAAAAGATGGGATAGAGTTAATTAATTACATTAGCAGAAATAGCGACTAGAAGAATGTAGACGTAGCTGACACAGCATGCTGTGGTGAATTATGTGAATTGCGGCCCCTGATACCATCAGCGCGCACGATGTTTCAGTAAAGATCTTACGTCGATTTCGTGCAGAGCACACACCACAAGATTTTCAAAAAAATCGTGCTGTGTGCCGTCTTGCTTTTGGGTTCTCTGGCCCACCTTGTTTTTCAAACAGACCCACATTTCATATTTTAGTTGGTTAGTTAGTTATATATTTCATTCTTTATTCAACTATTATTTCCATATATTATCGCAGTTTTTCTTAGTTAGTGATACACATTTTTCTTCCAAATTAACTATTAGTTTTGTTAGTTAGTTATCATATAATTAGGGTAAATTAGAATAAATAAGGCAATTTTGGGATGATTCCCTTTATTCACCATGATTCCCAGGGCTCGGTCGCAGTCAGGTCGTTATAATTTCCGCGGTTTCGCGCCTCGGCATCGATGGTCACGAAGTAACATAAGCCGTGCGCAGCGGCGAAGCGGCCGCGGGTGTGCCAGTCCTGGGCGATGGAAGGGCCATGTTTTACACCCTTCCCTGGTTTAACATGGGCGTAACCCTGAATGCTTTTAATCCACAGATCTGAAGATGGGGGAAAAAATGTGTGTTACTAGGGAACATGATTTGAAACATCGAAGGAATTATATATATGAGGTTTAGTGATTATTTTGAGATGGAAACAACATCTGATTTTTCTTGGGAAAAATATTGATTTGGATAATGATTATATTTTAAGATGAATTTTGCAAGATGGAAGGGGGGGTACTATATTTTTTCAGACAAACTCATACCTGGGTGACGCCAGATTCCAGAATATTGGGTCAAACTTGACGTTTTGTGTTGGCTGGTATGGTAAGATACCATTAGTTTGTTGATTTTTAGCCATCATTCTCTTTGGATACAATGTGGTGCCACACAGTTATGTTTTGTTGGTTTATGACCCCCTAATTCGATACAGTACCTCTATCATAAGCGTCTAAGACCATGGTGAAATTCAGTGAACTAACCACCTTAGCTGTAGCGAAATCCCATGGAGTCACCATCTTTGCTGGTAACATAATCTGGTTGGTGGTATACCAACCCCTCTGAAAAATGATGGAGTTCGTCAGTTGGGATGATGACATTCCCAATATATGAGAACATAAAATTCTTGTTCCAAACCACCAATCAGTAATGTAATATACCTAACTTAGCTAACTGTTCAGAAAATACAAAAAAATGTTCCAAACCACCAACCAGTAATGTTCCTAACATACCAGTAATGTAACATACCTATATAACTGGGGCTAAAGTTCCATGAATTGTTTCATGGCAAGCTCCTGATCTTCGGCCTTCGCTCCATGATGGCCATTCCAACCAATCGCGATTCCGAAACTTGGGCACCAGCTACTATCGGAACCTCTCATATATCTTAGAAATTGGGGGAAAACCCAGATAGGATAGGATTAGGATAGAATCAATAGATAGATATATATATATATATCATATCATATATATATATCATATCATATATATATATATATTTGGTGAAACTCTCATTGTGAATGCTTAGACCATGTTAAATCCCTACCTTTCCTAGGCACCATGGATCTCCCGAGGCCCGAGTCACCGCCCAAAGCGCTGTGATGCAAAGACAGGAGTTCCTGGGCACCAAACATGGGGCACTTGGGCTACTCTCTGGTGGAAAACCATAGGAAAACCATAGGAAAATGTGGCTTTAATGGGATTTATAGCTGATTTATGATAGTTTGCGAACTTGAAAATGGCCATAGAAATAGTGGATTTTCCCATTAAAAGTGGTGATTTTCCATAGTTTTTTGTATGTTTACCAGGCCGGGTACATGGAACCTGCCTGCAAGCCACTTATAAACTGACAATTCCCCCTGGATTGTCCAAATGAAATTGCAATTCGGACATGCCATTTTTATAACATGTCAATTATTGAAATGATATCATGTCAATTATCAATGTTATGATGGAACATGATATTTTTTTATTTTTATTTTTATAATTTCAATATTATACAATTGCAATTATGTTCCAATGTTTTGCTAACAGAAAACCTTATATATGTGCAAAAAACCAAAAATGACCGTCATTTTATAACCGCCTGACCAGAATAAAGGCATTTCAGGAGTATTGGCATGGCATATGCATTTCATGACATGTGTAGACCGATCACCGGAGCATTCTATAAGAAAAAACACATTGCAAAAACTGTTTTCTCTCAGTTTTTTTGCTGGTAATAACGAAATTTTCAACAGAAAAATGCACACTGACTGAAACAGTGTACATTATAAAATCATAAATGCTTGCAAGTGAAAATTATGTTTTGCACACATGCAGGTAGCTTGATAAATTTTATAACGTGTCAAATTGTTTCTGTGAAAGGTTTGTGCAAGATAGTGTACGCATCCTGCATTTTATGAGATCACAGCTCATTTTTTCTTAAAATATTACACAATTAAATGGTAGATCTACTACCTGCAACAGTTTGGGTATTGTGCGATGCTGAGTGCAAGTCATTTTTGTTGTTAGAACCTGGGGGCGGCCTCCCTCAGATAAAATGAAAATCATGTGCCATGATGAGAATGACATCACATTAGTATCCATTTTATACTTACATAATGCTACAAATAACATCAAATAACTACTATATACATCTATCTATCTATCTATCTATCTATCTTTCTATCTATCTATCTATCTATATTTAAATGTATGCATCTATATTCTGTTATATAGGACTATAAACTACTACATCCTGGGCAAACATGTGTTTTGTTCTCTCGCAATCTATGTTGAGTGGATAGTGTCTTCTCAAGTGACACATTCTCCATACATTTATGTTTTATCTTGTAGTTTTTTTTTTTGAACTATCTCAATATATTGATGGACAGGTACACATATATATATATATATATATACGCGCAACGCCTGGGTTTTGCCCAGGCGTTGCAGTGTAGAGGTTTCCCATTCCCAAACAAATGCTGATGCAACTTCACAAAAATCCTATGGGAAAAACAACAAAGGTACTAGGGAGTATTAAACTCAAACCCCGTTAAACCTGAAATTCCTATGGGAACAACAATCAAAGTACTAGGGAATATTAAACTCCCACCCCGTTAAACTTTACATTCAATTGGGAACATCAACAAAGGTACTAGGGAATATTAAACAGCTACCCCCGTTAAACCTGAAATTCCTATGGGTATAGGGAATATAAAAAACCCACCCCCGTTAAACTTTACATTCAATTGGGAAGATCAACAAAGGTACTAGGGAATATTAAACTCCCACCCCCGTTAAACCTTACATTCATTGAAGATCTTCAATAAGCGTTTAATTCTCCCAACCCCGTCAAAAATTACATTCATTGAAGATCTTCAATAAGGGTTTAATTCTCCCACCCCCGTTAAACTTCTACATTCATTGAAGATCTTCAATAAGGGTTTAATTCTCCCCACCCCGTTAAACTTCTACATTCACTGAAGATCTTCGATAAGGGTAAAATTCTCCCCACCCCGTTAAACTTCTACATTAATTTCTACATTCATTGAAGATCTTCAAAAAGGGTTTAATTCTCTCACCCCCCGTTAAACTTCTACATTCATTGAAGATCTTCAATAAGGGTTTAATTCTGATGATGATGATGTGTCGCCTGTCGTCATTGCGGGTCCGGGCAAAACCCAGGCATTTGCCGTATATATATATATATATATGCACGTGTCCATCACATATATGTATATATGTGTAGGTGAGCACACACACACATCCCTAAACTTAGAAGAAATAAACCATTGGGCAATTAAAAAGTTATTTGGTTTCAAATAAACTCTTAACCAGAAACCATAAAACTGTTGCAATCAAATCCAGGGCTTCCAACCGTGAAATCTTACATTAGTTCACAATAACCAATATTCACGAATGCATTGATCTTTTGGCGGTTTCCTGAAATGGGGGTACCCCGAAATCATCAATATTCAAAGGATTTTCCCATGTATATTATAAACCATCCAGCTATTGGGGATCTCCCATTTATGCAAACACCCATTTGGATGGTGCCAAGAATCACATTTTTCAAGATCTGTCTGACAACGGTACCTTTTTTTTCTAAAGGATTGGCTCTATCTGGTGCTCCTGCCGAACGGAACCAAAACCCACCAACCAAGAGTCATCTCGGCAGAGCAGTTCTGCTCAAAGTTTTCCTGGGGCTGGACCAAAGAGTCCGAGTATTTCATTATTTCATGGTGCCATTATATATATATAATTATATATACACTATATAAGCGATGCCTGTGCCATTCTACTTGGTAATTGGGATTGTGCCTAGCTTCATTCGTGATTCGAATAATAGTTGGTGTTTCGCAACAAAATGCTAGGCTAGTTCTTTTTGGGACTGCATGGGTATTTCATGACATATAATGACGATATTTCAGGGTATCCATGGGTATCCTACGATGTGCCCCAGTTGAGAATCAACCATTGAACATGGTGGCACAAAGATGTAAAGTCTGAGACGACCAACTTCAAAGACAGTTTCTAAAGACGCTAGTTTTTTGGCTTTCGTAGCTGTGTTTCGTAGCCAACAATCCATGGGAAAATGTCCAACGATAAATGGTATATAATATAACGTGTATATATCATTATATAACATGACGCTTTTCCGGATCTGGAATAGCGCAAGCCGCAGATGCCACACGACAAGACGTCAAACATGTTCTGCACGTAAGTTAGAGTACAATAAGGCGAGTAGGGTTGATCATGAGGTTAAAGTTCAATGATTGGGTTGTTTGTTTAGGGGCTCACTGTGATTATGATCACCACCACCACCGCCATCGTCGTCGTCATCGTCATCGTCATCGTCATCATCGTCATCATCATCATCATCATCATCATCACCACCCAAAGGGGCCCAGGCATGTATCATGTACCACCTGTTGCGGGGGCCATGTATCCTGCCAATTTTGGGCTTCACTTCTAAGTCTACTATTCCTGGAAGACCATCAATATTCATTCGAATGGATCACTCCCCCCATACCTTTTGAGGAGTTAGTGACCCTAGTAGCAGCTATAGCTTGAGCAGGGGGAACAAGGGAGTCATTAATTCACTACCAAAAAACTGCAGTAGATTATCACCGTAAGAGCTTATAATCCACATGGCTAATCTTGGATACCATGGACAAATGATTTCTATAATATACAGTATATATATATACATATCAGGGTAATACCCACCCTTTGACAACTAAAACTATACCATCAGACCACACTCATCAGCTCCACCCTGTGTCCTTACCATGGTAGGACATAAGTCCAGTCTGCATCACATAGGCCTCGCGCTGCCAAGCACAACCAGGGGCGAGAATTCAGGATGAATCCGAATTTTCTTCAAGCATTGAGCACACTATGCAAGCAGGGTCTGGTCGGTCATGACGTGATTTGTTGAAATACATCGAAATGATCTAGATCTCATATTTCGCATCCATGAGGCTCTCAATTGTTCTTTCTTTACCAGCCATACAGGATGCCAAGAGACCCACACAATTGCAAAAAATTGGATTACACGGTATTACACATTATTAAACCACCTTTTGAGGCGGTGAGTGATTTTGACCCATACCAACCCAAGAAATGTACCAGAAATACCTACTTCCCTATACCAACTATACCAACTAGGCACATCTAGCCCTTCAACTGACCCAACAAACCCAACAAAACCACCATCCGATCCCCAAGCTTCGGGCTGCCGCCTGTGCGCAGTCGTTGCCCGGCAGAAACACGTCTTGCCCCGGCGCGGCAGCGGCTTCCGAGAGGCACTGGTGACACAGCAGCCGGATGAAGAACTGCTCGTCTTCCTGGCGGTTCAGGTTGGTGCCTCCGAGAAAGCCCCAAGAACCAATATAGGTTGCTACTAGTAGGTGGATAACCCATATATCTTAACTATGGTTTATGGTAGATATAAGATGCAGTTAAAATAATTATAGTTAATGGGGTTTATATCCATATATCTATATATATATATATACATATCTGGTTGGTGGTATACCTACCCCTCTGAAAAATGATGGAGTGAGTAACAGTTGGGATGATGACTTTCCCAATCTATGGAAAACTAATCCAAATGTTCCAAACCACCAACAAGCTATATAGGTGGATAACCTCTTGAAAAAGGATTATAATCCACTGGATTTATGGGAACCACCTTAGTGGATTTATGGTGGAAGATATCTAGACGACTTGATGGGCTTATGACATAAAATCAAGTGATATAAACGGGGCATCACCTTGTATGCACTGTTTTTGTTGACCGTTATTGGAATTAGGATGCTCCAGTGATGGTCCACCAATGGTCGGCATGGGGATGTACGGTGGTCCCAAAAAAAGAGATCCTGTGAAGTCGAACCTTCATATGCTGCTAGCCCAAAATAAGATCTAGAAAGTTACCCAGAATTGCGTTTGGGTACTTCATTTTCGAAGCGGTCATGAGTCTGTGTTTAAAACTATTTTTTTAACACCATCTTATAGCGTATGATATTGTAGGCGTACTTCAGGCTACACCCTCTGAGTTTCTTTCGTGGAACCCAAACTCCCCAGCCATATCCCAACAAAATCACCATAAAACGATCCCAGCTTGCGAAAACCCATGGGTTTCACAAAGGGTTCCTGAAATTGTAGCTACAGTAGATCTGAAGAACTGCACACTTTGAGTATCTTTGAGTTTCAGGCATAGTATATTATGCATATATATATATAGCTATCTATATATATATATAGCTATATATATATAGCTATATATATAATATATAGCGAGCGATATAATACTAAAATATATTACACACTTTAGTTTGTTTGAAGCTCACCAAAAAATGCATTTGCATCTCAGTATCTCTATTGGCCTTACACCGGGCCGTGGTTCACTCCCAGCTATGAAGTAACTTATAACTTATAACCACAATCATAATCTAAATCTCAACGAGATTATAAAACAAAACACTGGGATTGTATAAACTATTATAAACTACTTATTTTCCACCTAGTTCCATCCGAATGTTGTTGGTGCCAAGTCGAGCTTGAGTACTTCCCAAATCCACAATCATGCGGCATCCAGATGGCGTGGGTCCATGGCTGGTAGAAATCAAAGACAACCGGGCCAAACCCTAACAAGGACCTACCTATTGAGCCAATCAGCTATGTCTAGTTCTTTGTTCAATCCCAACATTTCACAAACTGAAACATATGAATAATTACATAAATATACATATATAACATGGAGCATTTCACTTTGTTTTAAACCTTAAGACCGATGTTAAAAAAAAAACATCCTGGAAATCCCTACCATGTGGGCCCCCCCTGTTATATGAGTTGGTTTATAACCCCCATGGACTAAACCCCATGAGTACTATATATATAGTTCGAAGTTATAAGTATCATAAACCATAGTGAAATTGGAGTTAGAAACCCACCAGCCAGGATTTCGGGGCCCTTATATGTCCCGACATGTTACGTTCTAAAATTCTAAAACCTCCCAGCCACCGTTTCCCTAGCAGCGCCTGGAGCTGCCTCTCCGGCCAGAAGTGACACTTGGCCAAGGTTGAGGCGTACATCTCTTCGTGCAGCTGGATCTTGAACCTCTCCTGATGGCGAGGAAATGGTGGTTACGAAACAACGATGGCAATCACTTTTGGTTTCTGAACCCGGAAAAATGGAGCCATTTTTCATGGCTTATATTCATGGTAATCATGTAGTAATAGCAGGATATATATATATATATATGGTAATAACTAATAACCAGCAAAATCGCCATTGAATTGGGAATTCATGACATATTCAGGCATTGATCCTTGGGTGGGAAAATGGGGGAAACGATGGGATTTAATAACAAGAAACACAGGCATTAAAAATTGGTTATATTCATGGTCATCATATTTACGAATGGGTGTTTCTATCTCCTTGCTGAGAAACATCGTGGTTATATGTGGTTGTATATGGCAACGATATGTGATATGATATATATATATATACCATCTGGTAATTTAACGTAGCTATTGAAAATGGCCATTTATAGTGGATTTTCCCATTGAACATGGTGATTTTCCATAGCTATGTTAAATTACCAGAGGGTGTATATATATATATATATTATTACTGGGGAATTACAATTTCATGGGAATGTGACTGGAATATCATGGGAATATTCTGGGAGATATGCTGGAAACTGTGGCATCACCAAGTGAGCCATGCATGATATCGCGTTCTGATGCAGATTTATTTCGAGCCTATCATGGTTCTCCTCACCTGACATCAGGTTATATTCAACTTCAGCTAATCCATCTTCACCATGTTGTCCTCCCCTATGGGCTTTCATCCCGTCGATCTCTGCACTGGAAAACCGCGTGGCCACTTGCTGAAAAAATCCTGCAGCTTGATGTTCTTCCGTTGTTTTTTTACAGTCCCATCAAGATTCCCATCATCTAAGATGATCACAGTTTTCCATGGGTAACTGATACCCTCTTGACTGGTTATTTATGTAAATTGTCCACTAAATTCCAATATGTTATTTAACAGTTATTTAGTGATATTGGACCCTATTTAACAGCTTTGTTAAATGGCCATTAAATTCCATTAGGTGGTTATTTAAGATTATTTAAGTGGATATCGTCCACTAAATTCCAATATGTTATTTAAGTGGTTATTTCATCATGTCCAGTAATTCTCTCTGGCACTGTCGACGCTTCACGTTGATCTGGGTCCCTGGGTCCCTGGGTTTAATCGCTGCGAGATTCCCATGTTATTCCGATTCAAACTCCCATTAAATGGTTATAATCCCCCAACTAGTATAATATATATATATATTACATTATATTACTACAATATATCACCCATTATCACCCATATATGTAACGTTATCTATCATTAATACTTCCAAGTCATCCCATTCTTGTGTGTTATAAGTTGCTACATCTGATATTCCCCACATGGTATGTCAATATCACATCATGGGAGAATATGGGAGAATTTTACTAGGATAGTCCATTAGGATATTCCCATTATGCGATAGTCCCATTCACATTCCTACTATATTCCCATTGAATGGTTGAAATTCACCAGTAATACCATAGGAAAATCCCATGTCAATGCCTATTGACTATTTTTCGAATTCCCAATTCCATTGCTATTTCCTGGTTCTTACATACATCTGGGTAAATTATAATTCACTTCACTAACCTGAATAGTTCCGCCATTTGGGGATGATTTCCCTATAAAAACCATGACTCCAGTGAGGGAGAACACTGGCTGGAACCATGGGATTCTTAATCGCCAGAAGTTGAAAAACTATGGGAATCCCATGGGAAAAAACTACAACCCACGGGCCCGCAACTGGAACTTGACCCAAATTTTACCCAGCAGTGGTCCAGTTGGTTGATGGAGAAGGGGAAACTTACCATCTGGTAATTTGTTTCAGTTTGCGACATTGAAAATGGCCCAGTCGAAATAGTGAGTTTTCCCATTAAACATGGTGATTTTCCATCGTTTTGTGTATGTTTACCAGAGGGTACCAGTAGTTTCTGATGGTGATGAAACTTGCTTTGCTGAATGTGTTGCTTGTTTCACTAAAACAACTCATGTTGGATACCAACGTTGATGAAAAGTTGAATAGCTTTGTATACAACCCCATAGGCCAAGGATGAAGTCACCACAGCTGAATCACAACATATTTGCTGGTTAAATCACCAAATTTTTGCTGGTTAAATCACATTTTTGTTGCTGTTAAAATCACATTTTGTTGCTGTTAAAATCACATTTTTGTTGCTGTTAAAATCACATTTTGTTGCTGTTAAAATCACATTTTTTGCTGTTAAAAAAAATACATGTTTTTTGCTGTTAAAATCACCAAATTTTTGCTGCTAAAATCACCAAATTATTGCTGTTAAACTCACATTTTCTTGCTGTTAAAATCACATTTTTTTTATGTGAAAATCACTTGTTTTTAATGTGAAAATCACATTGTTTTTGCTGTTAAAATCACATGTGTTTGCTGTTAAAATCACATTTGTTTGCT